CTGGGGAGGCCTGTACCTGCCGGTGGGCGGGGCCAGCGCTGAAGTGCCCGCCCCTCCGCCAATCCGGAGAGCGGAGGTGCGGGGGGGCTCCGCCTCCTGCTCCCATTGGCCAGGCTGTTTCCAGGGTTCGGCTGAGGTCCGCCCGGCTGGTGGGCTGTCGCGGTGGGCGCGGCCCTTCCGGCGGGGCCGGCATGGGGAGGTTCCCCCCTCAGCCCTCCCTGCCTTAGAGTGCACCTGGTGATGCCCTGGAGAATACCGCAGGCTAAAATAGCACAGTCATAGGTCAGCAGCTCCTTACAAAGGCTGTAAAGAAGGGGTTTTTATTTTTAAGTTGTGGGTTCTTACATTTGGGGATTTTTAATAGCCTCCACCCCTGAATTATGTCTTGACAACAGTACATCTTATTAAGACACTTCACATATATGTGTTTCCTCTGTTCTCTGGCTTTGTCAGAGGCTTTGCCTTCGAAAGCTGTGCAGTCTGAGAGGAAGGTGTTGTCATGTAAGGCTTGTTCTAGTTTGTTGAAATGGAGGTCTTGATGTTCTCAAATGCTTTTCAAAGAAAAACAGCTCAATAAGCCACATCTAAACACGGCTAGGGAACTAAGTGCTTTTGTATGGTGTAGTTGATAGTAAATGCATAAGTATAAAAATGTATTTGTTAAATAACTAACTTAGAGTCTACTGAGGGTGGGATGTTGATTGGTCTTTCTGCCCTGAATTCCTGCATTGAAGTTAGATCCCCTGCAAGACTCTGTCCTTGTCACAGGAATGTTGCCGTCTCATGATAGAAATACATTTCTGATGGAAGATAGATCTTTACTGCTCTCTCAGCTGTTGGTAGATTGTTGCAGAACCTATCTGCAATTGTAGAATATCTCATGTCCAGGCAAAATTATCTTCTTTCTGGTTAACAGGGCCAACATGTATGCCATGAGATCCTATAAACTTGAGCACGTTTAACTTCAGAAGGTGGCAGTGTGCATTTGCAGAGTTGCTGCTTTTGCTTTTAGTTGTTGTTCTGTTTTCACTGTTCTTAGGTAAACCTTAGGATTTAAGAACCACCATGTTTACTATGTGCTCTTTGTTAGGAACCTCCTACTAAAACTTAGTCAATAGTTAATACATTGTTAGAAGGCTTGTTTTACTATTCCTGGTTTTGCATTAAAGAGCTGTTTTTCATATGGAACTTGCTTACGGTGTGCATATTTGCAAAAAAACCCCAGCCTTTTAACCCCTTTAGTACCACGTTGTTCATGCCAGCCTAGCTTACTTGGTGAAGTGTCTTAACCTTTCATGTAATGATTTAGCAAAAGTGTTAGGGGAACTTAATATAGCCATATCCTACTGGGTATGAAATGACTCACTAATACTACAACCCTCATTTGCTGTAGTAAATATTTATTTTTTTTTCGTCTTATGTTTTTAAACGGGAACTTTGAACCTAGTAAGTTGAGTTTTGTGGTTCCTGGTAGCAAACTGGTTTACACAAGCTGTTCTCTTGCATGTACTCTAGGAAGGTGGATGTCAGCCTTCTTTCTGTAAGCAGGCCCCAACATTCTTGCCTTCTCACCCCAACCACGTACTGTGTTCCAGTCTGTGTTCTTGTCCAATGTTGGCGTGCCAAGATAGTTCCTAGGAGGTTGTTAGGTATTAAGAGTTCTGTATCAACCCAAAAATGTGTAAACGGTTACCGTTGCTGTGCTGGGCATAATAGCAGCCGACTTAACGTGAGCCAGAAGAATAGTTAGGTCCAGCTGAGCATCTGTCTAACCCAGAGTCCTGTCTGCAGTGGTTCAGTGACCCAGAAAACACTGTGGTCAAGGTTGTGGTTTTCCTAGGATACAGCTTGTTCTTTGTGCTCCCGAGTGCTAACCCTGTGATTGTCACAGTTGTGAGGCGAGAACCTTCTGTGATAGTGAGGGGGACTGTGGTGTGTGCCCCAAATAGACAGAGGGTGCTCAGTCAGGAGGAAAGTATAGGGATAGGACAAGTGTCTGATGGTCATTTTCTAACTGCAGTCTCATTTTTAGTGTTTGAAGGAGTTTTTGAGTCAAAGTTGTTTTATGTCTAATAATTTTCAGTACATTTTTTTCCTGATAAGTTTTAACTTTTTTATTAAGCTACAACTTCAGTATCTGATGGCAAAGAGCTGTGCACCCAAACTGTGTGTTGTAAAGGAATCCCTGCTCTCCTTTTCCCTAGCACCTGCCAATTTAACTTGATGCTCAATAGCTTATACTCTGGAAGAGGCAGCAGATGAGTCACTCAAATAGTGTAACCCAGCCTTTAAAAAGAGAAGTTTCTAAACAAACTAACCTTTTGATAAGATAACCCCTTGTGAGAGACCTGTCAGACTATTGGTTCACTTCTGTTCTTGAGAGTGTCTTCACCAAACAGCAAGAGTACTCAACTTTGGCTAGAATAGATTATTTGGTGGTTAATTTAAAAAAAAGGAGGCTTTTCTTTTTGGAGAATCTAAAACTTCTGATGTTTGCAAGTAGTAAAGGTAGAAGTATAAACTTAATGCCATGTTACATTGTACTTTGAATTTGTTTTTTTTCTAGTGCTCAGAAACTGAAAGTGCTTTTCACTCTATTCTTCTTCATTAGGAGGCAAGTGAAGCCTACTTGGTTGGCCTGTTTGAAGATACCAACCTGTGTGCTATCCATGCCAAACGTGTCACAATCATGCCAAAAGATATCCAGCTAGCACGCCGCATACGTGGAGAGCGTGCCTAAACTTCACTACGATGGGTTTGTCATTCTCAAAGCAAAATCTTCTTCCTGTTATTGGTAGTAATGAACGTTAGATATTTTTTCCGTGGGGTTAAAAGGTACCTAAGTATATGGTTGCAAATGGAAAGAAAAATAGGGGACAGAATTGGATATTGGCAAGTTTTTTTCCATTTTCATTTGTGTGTGGATTTTTAATATAAATGAGGGGACGTAAAACAACAATGTGGTCAAAAAAAATGTTTCTGTGAAGAAGTTTCAACAATTCAACTTTATAAAAAAAATATAAATAAACCTGTCAAATTTTTCTGGACAATGCCAGCATTTGGATTTTTTTAAACAAGTAAATTTCTTATCAATGGCAACTAAATGGTGTTTGTAACATTTTTATCATACAGTAGATTCCATCCATTCACTATACTTTTCTAACTGAGTTGTCCTACATACATGTTTTTAATGTTGTCTGTCTTCTGTGCTGTTCCTGTAAGTTTGCTATTAAAATCCATTAAACGATGCCTGCTCTTAGTCTTGATTTTAACATCCTACATCCAGGTTATATTTGATTAAAAAGTAATCTGCCTTCCCTTTTCTCTTCAGTATGTCACCTAAGTATTTGTAGCAGATGTAGGATGTGATATTACCTTGGCTGAAGCAGTGTATGTATGAGGGTTTTTAAGAGTGTATAATTCCTGTCAATTCCACGTGAAAGCAGGTATATTGCTGAGTAGTCTGGAGCTGGACCAAGGTTTCCCACTAAGCTACAGTGTTAAGAAAATGCAGTTTTGCGGCTGTTTCGGTTCCTTTCTTGCTTGACTTAATGTTCCATTTGGAATAATTTCTGATTTTAACGGTTTCATAGTACAGTGGTGGGGTGTGGTGGTTTGGGGTTTTTTGGTGACTTTTTGAGTTTGGGTTTGGTTTTTGTGTGATAGGTTTGTTGTTTTTTTTCAGTGTTCTTTTTTAAAACACTTCTGCATGTTATTATCTGATTTCTTTGTTCATAGATGATCACTTTTTGGTTATTACCTTTTGGTTTCAGTCATGCCCTCTAACGTGTTTGAGAGCTTAGATAATGTATGATTAGTTTCAGTTTGTACACTAGTGAAGAATACACTTTTATACCATTTTTCTTAATTAAGTACTTGATAGAAGCAATACTTAGACAAGAGCACACATTTGAAACCTAGTATTTTTTTATATTCCCCACTCCATTGCTGAAGAAAGTTCCTGTGAAGAAGTTTATTGCTGAAATTATGTTCTGTAAATACTTTGTTTTAATTTTTCACCTGAATCCTGAACAAGGATTCTAATGGACCAGTCTATAAATCAGTTATGTAGTGTATTTTTTGATAGCTTTTGTAGGTAATGTTACACAGAAGAAAATATGTAGGCACTGAACAAATTTCACCCTTACAGAGCTTACTTGCTGGTAACTTCTTTGGAGAGGTACTGAGTGAGCTCTAAACGTGTGAGTGGATTTGAAGATTTCCAAAGAGGATTAATAGAGATGTATTATCTCCTTTGATATCTTGAACAGAGAGCCAAAAATTACAGAATAAATCACATTATTCATAACTTGTTTGGTTCTAGTAATGAATGCTCTCTGCTAGGGTTGTGCAGAATAAAGCATTTGAATGGAGTAGCTTAATAGAAAACTAATGTTAGAAAAAATGTGATCGTGTCCTTTTGATACCAAGCGGTTCATAGCTGTCAGCTCGAAATTAAGGAAGAGTTGTCTTGGAGCATCCAGAACAACAATATAAAAGGTGAGTAGCTGTGACTCAGCTGATTTGAGGTGTCAGTTCTGTCTACTTGATAACAATCTGGTAACTTGTTATAAGTGCATAGCATAATTAACTACTTTTTTTGCCCTGTACTTCAGAATTCTGTTTCATGCATCAGCCGACAATGCTACATCTACCTACACAAAAAGGTAATTAGGCTGATTTTTGTAATAACCTGAAACTGAAGTATTGATAAAGGAACTTAATATTTTCCTTCTGAAATGTCTTAGAAAATTAAATCTAGAGATTTTGGTTTGCAAATGAAGAACCAAGTTCTTTCTATTAAGGGAGAATTGGGATGAGGAATACCATGACAGTGTAGTTAAACTGCAAGGCAGAGGAATTCATAATGGAAGATGAAGGGAGCTTGTGTCTCTGCAGTTGACAACATATGTTCAGTGCTACACCTACAGCTTTGGGATGAACATTTACCTTTGAGGGTTTTAGTCATTATGGTTGTGGTCCTAGAGATGCCATGTGAATCCCTTTAATGATTAGCTTATATATCTGTATTGATACAGAGTGCTGTCTTGTCTTCATTCCTGAGCAATATTAGGGCACCACCTCTACACGTCATTTGTTTTTGAAGTTTGATGGATTTTCGTTAACAGGTATTTGCATTATATTGCTGAACAAATTGCTTTATCTTTAGCTTTTTCAATCCCTGCCCCAAATACACAATATTTTTCCCCTTAAGGTGTAGCAGCATGAAAATAAATGCAAATCGGCAAATTACAACAAGAGCACTGCTTTTTAAAAATTAGTGTTTCTCCAGAATGGTCAGATATCATTCCAATTTTGAATGGATGCTCTAGCTGATGCTGTTTAATGTTAATGGAGGAAACAGAGTACAAAGGTGACATTGCTTTTTTTTTCTTTTTTTTGGTATACAGAGAGTTTAGTTATTTGGGGTTGTATTTTTCCCCATAGATGTTAGAAGCTATCTGTTTAAGTATAGTTGGCATAACTCATTCAGAGTTGGCAGTTCACTTGTACTGTGGAGTCTCTCAAAGACATAAAAAGAAAATCTGCATTTAGTCTGAAGTCTGCAGGCATGTACCAAGTAATATTGCAGGTTGTCTTCTCACTCTCTTGGGCTGTTTCCTCTGGAGCTGACATATGGGAAATGAGTCATGGGGAGGGTTAGCTGACCTGCAGTAATGGTGCAGAAAACACAATTTTTTTCTTGGGAGTAAGTGAATGTACTTGCAACCAGGTATATTTGCATAGTACAGGGTTCATTTTATGAAATTCTATTAAATTATTACTACTTTTACCAGAGAGGGCAAGGGGTAATGGTTTTAAAGTGAAAGAGGGTAGATTTAGGTTAGATATAAGGAAGAAATTCTTCACAGTGTGGGTAGTCAGGCTCTGGAATAGGTTGCCCAGAGACGTTGTGGATGCCCCCTTCCTGGAGGTGTTCAAAGCCAGGTTGGATGAGGCTTTGTATAACCTAGTATAGTGGGAGGTGTCCTTGCTCATAGCAGGAAGGTTGGAACCTGATGATGTTTAGGGTCCCCTCCAACCTTAACCATTCTATGATTCTATTCTATGATAATCCACTAAAACATTTGGGATTCCTGAATGTTCTTTTTGATAAAGCAAGGGGTGATCCTTTCAGAAATATATATGCCTGCTTGTTGGCTGAGATAATTTTTGAGGAAACTTGACAAACAGCTATTAAGGGGTTTAAAATAACTTTAGGGTTTGGTGTTTGTTTGTTTTTTCTGTTTCTCAGATGGTACACTTTTCCTCAGCCAGTTTTACAAGGACTATTTAAAGTCTTAGAAGATTCTTAGAGTTGTCATGTGTTGAAGAAATTGTAATACTAAAAAAAATGTAAATTCCTGATCACTTCTGGTATTTGGGAGTTGTAAGGAAAGGGAATACCATCCAACTTGGATGTGATCTAATCTAACACTGACAGAAAAAGAAGTCTGCTTAAGTCACAAGTACTTTTTGTGCAAAAAGAAATTACAGCTTACATGCAAGAGAGCTCTAATATTGATATACAGCACTCTCATTCTGTGGAAGAGGTGGCTTCGGGTTTCTCTTTCACATCTGAAAAAAAAGTAGGCTGAACTTCAGTTTCTGAAATAGCTAACCTCTTTTTCCTGATGGCATTTCTGCTATGTCCTAGGCAATTCGGTTATGTCTGAGATTTTTTAATACTAGAAACAAGTTGTGGTCATGTGGACACCCTCCTGGGGAGGAGCTTCATTGTATTGGGCGGGTGGAGGGATGCATGTGATGTGGCTCCTTGCTTGTTAAGTGACAAGCATAGCCAAAGGTTGAACCTCTGTTTAAGCTGTATCACATTTCAATTTCTAAATTATTTGTGAAGTCCTGTATAATATGTATGTGATAAGCTGCTTTTTAGGTCCTTGTTTTACATTTGTATGTTAACAGCTGTATGTACGTGCTGTTTTCTCAATAGTAAGTACAAAACCATGTAAGTCGGTTGCTTTGTATTAGCAATACAAAAAGCAAATAACTTCAGACAGCTGATCAGTCTCTGGTGTGGCTGTATCAAATTCAACTGTTCTTGAGAGCTTGAGTAACATGTACCTTAAACCCAGCATTTCGGATTTTGTTTAGAAAAGTAACTTGCCAAAAGAAAGTAACTAGTATTAGTGTGCCTACATTTAAGTAATGCATTGCTGAGCTGAGTTCATTCAGCCCTTTATCCCATCTGGCAGTAGCTGCTGGGTGATGCTACTGTCCTGACGCCCGATTAATTCATGCCTTGTGACAGGTTGTAACACCCGCTTGAAATTACTACTGCCATCTTGTTTAGGAAGGAAAGTAAGTGCAACTGTTTCTGTCAAAATAACTGCTTACTAACAGTCTATTTCACTGGTGAATTTTTGGGATGCATTTTAAAATCTGGGTTTATTGTCCCAGGAAATGCATTCTTGCCCTCTGACTTTCATGGAGTTTTGTGACCACATAGTTATTAAAATCCAATTTTTAATGTGACTGAAACCAGGATCTTTCACACACACTTCCTGTGCCACTGTTCCTGGTCAATTAGCTGAATAATTTTACTCTGCGTATCAGCTTAATCTTAAGCAATAGAGCAGGCAGGAGAGTGGGTGGGACTATCCATTTCCCTAGCAGTATAGTTTGTATCTCCTGATGGTCTTAGAACTGAGCATTCTTGTCCCCTTAGCTTGACAGGAGCCTATCTTTCCCTCCTCATCAGATGATGCTTGCATTTCTCTATAAGCTGTTTCCTGAAAGTAAAGTAAAGTAAAACCCAACTGGAAAACACCTATTTCATGTACATCCTGCACTGTCTGCGACATAATTCCACATGCCTCAGAGAGAAATGTTGACACATGGTTTCACCCCCACCAACTTTTGCTCATGAATAATTAGGCTAATTGATACTCTCCTGCCAACCTTGATTTGTGAGAGATTTTGCAATTTCAACTGTTTTTTTTGTCCTTAGTGTCTGTTGGAGTTGGTGAGGAGTATAATTATGTCTTCTGCCTCTACCTTGTGGACTGCTTTGAAGAGAAGACAGGTGGAGATGACATAGCAGTCATCAGGGAAGAGATGCTCCATCCTTTCCCCTGTACTGGAGGAGGAAGGCTGAAGAAATGATATTTGCAGTCCGGCTCAGGCCTTCTCTCAATGCATCACTGCCCGGCAGCTGAGCCCCTGTCAGGCAGCCCGTGGGTGAGATGGCTGCCAGGTGAACACATGGGCATGGATGCTGGCTGTG